TGCGGCATGGTAGACTTATCCGTCAGAGGAGGCGTGACTCTGTGCAGCTCATCGATGGCTGAAGGTTCTGTCAGGACGAGAACACAGAGAAGGGCCTCGATTAGCGGGGGCTCACCTTTCTGGGCCTTGGACCTCTTCGCGAAACCAGCAGACGAATGCAAATCGCGAACCGCTAGTTCATCGTCAGAAAGGTCAAGCATATGTGCATGGCTTGGCCGACGTCACATACCTTCACAGAACCAACAGGTACATTCCGAGTAAACCTCATTGAATAGGTTCATATACTTCCTGCATGTAAACACGAACGCATCGCCGAGCGCGCCCTCTTCCACCTTGTCATTATGGTCGATGAACTTCGCGTGCTGCGTTTGCGATGCCGCTGTACGTGACGTCGAGTAGTTGTAGTAAGCCCGTGGGGCCAGCTGATGCGTGTGCCACGCAAGGTCGACATCGAGAGTCGGTACTATCATGTGGCCAGGTGTGGTGAGCATGATCATGAAAAAGCGGTCGTACTTTTGAAGGAGTCGCGTCATTGTCGATCGTGCTGAGGGGCTGTGGAGCCAATCAATCTGGTCACTGTCAGCTCACGCCGAGCGAAAGCAGTACAGGGATTTACTGCGGACCTTGTACATCTTGTCAATGAACACCCCCTGACGAATAGCGCCAGCGGCAAGGTCAAGACCAAACATCGAAGGGTTCTGCCAATACTGGCCCATCATCTTGCGGCACTGGTACCGCTCCGTATCCTGTATACTTTCGCGTGGAATCAACTTGCCTGGCCTGGCCTCGATCTTGACGTTGTTTGGGTTTTGAAAACTCCTCAGCTTTTCTTCATCCTTGATGGTGCTTCCCACAATGTTTGCCACGTCTTTCATGGTTGGCAGTTGTGACTTGGTCATCCCTGGCTTGATCAATTCTCGGAGTTGAGGATAAATAGCCTTGGCAAGACGATCGGGGAAGCTTAGCTCCGCCAACGGGTAGCCCCCTTCGGGAGCCTGGGTGCAATTGGGCGTTCCATACTTCGGGTCTAGAACAGATCCAGGCATGGGTATCGAGTTTTCAACGCTGAGTTTGGCGTCGCGGATGAACCTGGCCACCGGCAAAATCTGTTTGTCAATGGGCACACCACATTCCTCCGTGCAGAACTGCGAGAACTCGCCGTCTCCAAAACCGTTGCCGTGGAGGCCAGGTCGCCTATATCGAACGTTAGTTCATGATGACCTCATGTGAATCACGGCGCTCTCTTGACTCACGCCACTCCCTTGTACAGCTCTGGCAGGCCGCATGTCGTCCACGGCAGCTCAATTATGCTGTGGCAAGCCGGACACTCCAGGGACTTGAATTTGGGGTCGTCTTGGTTCAGCCATGCCCTCCCCGTTGTACGCTCCCACTTGGCCTTGCATTCATCCGTGACAGTGTAGTTGAAACTGTTGTCGATGGCGATGTTGACCTGGGCCCATGGCATGCCTGTTGTCCAGAATGCCTTGAGTCCACGTCTCATGGCATCCTCAAGGAAGACTCTTGGATTGAGCATGTGGGTGTGCCAGATCATGAGAACGTCTGCGAAATGTCAGTGGACACCCGGTCAAAAGACGGAAGCTGGACGGTACATACCAATCGGGGGAAGATTGTCTTGCGTCCACGGGAAGTCAACTGACCCCTCTGGGAACCTCTCATATTTGGGGCTGCCCTTGGTCTCCATATCCTTTTCGGTCAGGGAATCGTTTGGAAGTGAGGTCCACCAAGCCTCGTAACGGTCCACAGCCCGCGCAAGGTACAATGCCCATCGCTTCTCGCGGATGATGGACAGAATGTGTAGCTGATCTGACACGGCACTCGACCCAGCGGCGTCGTCCAGTTTGGGTCCCGCACGGTGGTCCCAAATGTCCCACAGGCCATCTGTGTAGCCAATTTCCTCCTTGAGGGTCTGAATAGCGTGCAGCAGCTTCAGATGGGCCAGGCACGAGTCGACATCAGGGTTGTTCTGGGTCGATAGCTTGAGGGAAGCAAATGCAGCCGTGATATCTCTCGTCCCGCTGACGCTGAACGGCGGCGGTGCGTCGTCGAGGTCAAGGACCGCAGAAAGATCCTGGCTGGCATCGCCATAGGCTGGTGGTGGCGTCGCAGGTCGTTCGACGGCGGTCTTCTCTGCCTGGGCTTCCTTCTCCTTATCCTTGAAGCGCTTGAAGAAGGATGGCATGATTAATTAGCGTCCAGACGAGATTCTACGTCAAGTCACGATAGAAAGTGACGTTGATGTTGTGGTGAAGGGTATGAGATATACGTGAGAGAGGTTAATGGGTATTGCCGCGAATGCGAGCAGTAGCACCGAGGGCTTCGCCTGGGTTATTTGGCAACGATCTGGGGACCGCTAACAAGGATCAGGTGCCAAACGATCGCGATTGAATAAGCCTTCCAAGGCTGAACGGTGTGGCTGACGGCTGTGTTGATAATGAGGCCCTGTGCTGCCAAGAACACGTAGTCAGGACACGTACTCGGCCCTGTAGATGGTGTCGAGGCCGCGTGGCAAACACCTCCGAGGACAAACAATGTGATTTGTTCTGGTAAAGAAGCCAAGGGCTTGTCCCGTTCGGCCCCTTCTCCGGGATCTAGGGTCTCCATGCAGACAGAGGCGGGGGGGAGAAGGTCATTCGAGAAGGTCTTGAGGCCGAAGGCCATGGTGTGGCATGTCACCGAGTCAAGCCTTTCCTTATCAGGCCTTGTCTTTGGAGGCACGTTGTCGACAGCGAATGGGATCCTAGCGAAAGGGGCAGTGCCTGCAATCGCGGTTAATGGCTTGCCAGGTACTGATGGCGGAGCGGCGTGTAGCCCAGCAGCTGCGCCGTTGCAGTGCAGCGCAACTGTCCTACTTGTTGGTTGAGCTGAAGCTGGCGACACCATGTGATGTCCAGATTGCCCTAAACCGGCTAAGGTAGCGTGTAATCATGGAGTCATGCTAGCGAATCTGGCCAGCCTCCTTTCGCTTGTTAGTTGGGTGGACACTTTTGGCTGCGCTACTACCCCTAAGCTCAGGCAAGGTGCCCACCACATCCTTGCTCACCTACCTACGGACGACAACCGTCTCCATCGGACTGGACTTCATTATTTGTCTGAACGACCTAGGTGGCCAAGTACCGCCCACAGCTGTGCCTCAGCGGCGTTGGCGTCGGTCTCTCACTTCCACAGCCATCCCTTGCCATTCGGCACATACGCACGAGATGTCATGTCGGCTACGTTTCCTTTGACCACCCTCCAGAACTCTTGAACAATGTCGCTTCTCTGCCACGCCTCCATGGCCGATCGGTCTTTGTAGCGTGCGTAGATGCGGGCGCCGACATCATTGTCTAGGCTCTTGAGGCCCAGGAAGGTCAGGATTTCGCCCATCCCGTCCTGCCGTTGCGCCACCTCAACGCTTCGGCAGACCATTTTCAGCGCATCCAGTAGCTTCTGCCGCGCGGCCTCGTCTATGCATCGAATCTGAATGTCCCGCATGATGCCGCATTCTGCCTTGTCACCGAAAATGTCTAGGAACCCACCCACGACGCTGTAATGAACGAGGTCCAGTCCGGTCGTCATGAGCGGAAGGGCTGATGGTAGAAAGGCTTGCGTCATGGGTTCTGACTTCAGATGCGTCTCGTAGAGATCGTCGCGCGTGCCGTACATCTCGAAGGCGAACATGTGGTCCGTACGAGAGGGCTCGGCAGCGTACTCGAGTGGAATGCCGAAGTAGTACGAGTAGGTGTCGGGCTCATTTTGGGAAACGTGAGCCGCCAGCTTGTCGTACGCTGTTTGCCACTGGGAAATGTTAGAAAAAGATGGGCTGTTCATGCCAGGACGGCCATTACATCATTGTAGTGATCGGGGATGATATTGACGTTGCCGAACAGGATCAACTTGTCATGAATCAGTGGCACACTGGGCATACTGATGGGCTATTTAGAAAAATATACCAGGTTGGCACGAATAATGATGTTGGCGAGGCACCGACACATTGGCGATTCTCGATCATCTCAATAGCAGCATGTCGGCTTATATCATACTCAGAGCGGCACGGCGTGACTGTTCGGTCACCGAGTGGCCCAATGCCAGCGCTAGATACCTCTCACCTCCCGTCTCTTAGGCAATTCCTTTCTCGCGGTGTCCAAAGCCATTTCTCAAGCCCTCAATGGCTGTCGTGAGCCGCTTGGCTCTAATGTAGTTCCGCTTGCACATCTTTTTGGCGACAGCAGATTCGATCGAAGCCCCGTTTCTCACGACTGCCAAGAGGATCTAACAAGTCGCTCGGGAGGTGTTACCCGGCACGTTGGGCCAAATATGAACCCTGTCGAATGCCAGATCCGATCGGGTCTGGGAGATGTTACGTAGCGAGCCGGCTGGGTACATGCTGTGAAGGATATCAAGACACTGCAGATCTCGCCTTTTGCGGTCTTTTGAAAAGTACTGTTCTCGCATGGTACATGGTCGGAAAACGTCCTCCCAAGTTTTGTCTCCAACTAAATCACACTACCAAGTAAGGGACATCGTAAGTTTGGGGCTGAGGAAGCCATGTAACATTCCATAGTGTTTCTTTCTCGCTGTATTCGAGGTTTGACCTCGGCCTCTAAGTGTCCGCCATGACACCCAGCACACTGCCTGGCTTGATGTAGAGATGCTGCTCGATCCGAGTGAGGGCCCCCAGCTTTTCTTCTGCTTGAGGAGTGTAATATATAGCATTCACTTGGCAAACAATACACAAGAGTTGATTGGAAATCGTAATTAAGTTATAGAAGCAACCATGATACGCGCTAGAACCATCGTCGAGTCTCTCTCACAAGATATTCTAGGCCATCGCAGGACAACGCACAAACGCCGTCCGATCAATAGTATTTGAAACTGTAAACCGGCGAAGAATACCCAGGTG